CTGTTCTGCCTATAATGCCCTAGCAAAAAGGAAGGGATAAAGCCAGAATACAGAATCTGAGGAGTGATAAACCTGTAAGATATGCTTAAGACTGAGTAATAAACAATATAGCTTACCAAGAAATAGGCTACAAGTTCAAGCCAAATCTTATGGACTGACAACAAGGAAGAGTTCAACACTCTAGGTTTTGGAGAGGATGTAAAGACTGTTGTCCCAATTGAGTCTGATGAATTGATGGACAGTACTAAGGTTATACTAAATTCAACTACTGGATGATGCCTGCCCCTACTACTGAAGCTCAAATGGAAAAGTATGTTCAAACATGCCTTGATTCTATTCCTCTTGATTTCTTTCAAAAGTAAGTACTTTAAATCTTTCTTTCTTACAAAATTGATTTTATTATATGTTTTGTAGGTATTGTAACTGGTCTGCTCAGTTCATAGATGTATATAGAAAGGGGTTGACAGGAGCACAGGCTCAATAGGCAAATAAGAAATACTATAGCTATAGAATCCTTCTGTTAGTAACAGTATAGAGGGGACCTGAAGGCTTGGCAAGGGGACCCAGGCTACAACTATCCTACACAACAGAAATACAGAATACAAGCACTAGAACATAGTTGGAACTTGCAGAACAGGCAGAGAGAGAGAGTGAGACAAGAGTAGAGTATATAGAGTAAGCCTAAGAGTACAGGACTACCTAGAGTAGACAAGATCAAGACTATAGGACTAGTCTGATCTTATACACCTATATATACTAAACTACACAAGAGCACTCAGGGAGCATGAGCCACTAAGAATGATGAGCCACAAAGAATGAAAGAAAGGAATGTCAAAGATAAAGGTACAAAGAATGAAGAGATAGATAAAGGGTAAGAGACTATAGAATGATACAAAGAATGAAGGGGTGGTCAAAGGAATAGAATGATAAAGTAAGGAAGGGTAGTGGTAAGAGTCTGCACACATATAGTTCATAAACAGTACCCCTAAGGGACAAAAGTCCTGAGTTCTAGTATGGAAGGGTGCAGAACCCTTAGAACTGAAGGTATAAGAGTGGAGAACCATAACATCACCCCCCCTCTAAAACCAATCATCCTGATTGGTGAGCATTAGGCTTGGTTAGTAGCTCAGGCATAAGTCAGAACAGTAGGGTTTAGAAATCTGTGAGGTAGAGTTGACACAGAGCACTCAGATGAAGTCAATAGAAGTCTTGGATTGTCTTAGCAGTATGGGTGAGATTCTCAGCAGGTTCCTAAGTGTGTTCTTCAACTAGGTATCCCTTCCAGTGAATAAGGAACTTGAGCTTTCCATACACTAGCTTAGTATCTGCTACATACTCTACTTTGTATTCTGGTTCAGAACTGATGAGTTCTGGTAGAGGCAGTAGGGGTCTTTGTTGTGAAGGAAAACCTAGATCATAGTATTAAGACAGTAGAACCTTGTTAAACACTAGGTGTATACACTTCCATGTTACCAGAAGTTGGAGTTTGTAAGTAGAGGCACTAACCTTCTTTTTAATAACAAAGGGTCTGAAGCACTTGTTGTCCAACTTCTTCATTAGGCAATCTATAGTCAGGTTAGTAGCTTTCAGTATAACTTTGTCACTAGGCTGGTAATCCTTAGCTGTAGACCTCTTCTGATCATAGTTCTACTTTATAACCTGTACTACCTTTTCCAAAAGAGCTTGTACATCCTCCCTGGTTCTATGCATCCATTCTACAAAGTCTGTTACAGATTCAGAACTACTGTTCCAGTTTGAAACTGTCCCCTAGTACAAATGTCTCCTATGATTAAGGAAGAACAGGGACTGTCCTGTTACAGAGTGTTGCTAGTTATTGTACACAAATTCTGTCAGAGCTAACTATTCAGACTAATCTGATTACTGATGATTAATAAACATTCAGAGGTAGAGCTTGATCTCCTGATTGACTTGCTCAGTTTGACTGTCAGTCTACAGGTGATAGGTAGTGGAAGGGTTCCCTTGAATTCTGAGAAGCACATACAAGTCCTACATGAATTTTGACTTGAATTGTAGTCTACAATCATGAATGAGCTTCTGAGGGAGTCTGTACAACTAGAAGACATGATCCTAATAAATGTGTGCTATACTTTTAGAAGTGAGTTTTGTTCAGGTCAGAACTGTATAGACTTGCTTAGAGAATTGGTTGACAATCACACAGATAGTGTTGTAACCCTAAGACTCAGGTAGCTCACTAATCAGGTCTACTAAGACTTCTTCCTAAGAGTGATCTAGGATCTAATACAGATGTAGGGGAGTCTGAACCCTTGTCTAGTAGGCCTTAGTCTGTTAGCATGTATTGTAACCAGTCACATACTTTAGGATTTCCCTCTACATTCTAGACTACTAGTAGTTCTAAGTAATGAGTTCCTGTGTTTTGTGTCAGCCCAGATGTCCTACAGTCAGATTGTTGTAATGAGCTCAGACAATGTCCTCCTACAGTTTCCAATCCTTTAGAATGTACAGTCAGCCTTCCTAGTAAACCTGTCCATCCTCATCCTCCTCCTAATCCTTAGCCTGTTTCTCTAGTTGCTTCACTACAACCCAGTCCTGTGTGTGTCTTAGAGCTTACTGTATACAGGTGACAAAGTCAACATCCTTGGATTTGAGTCAGATCTCTCAGATTGTCTCAGACACAAAACAGGAATTGTCTAGAAGAACAAGATTTTTGTTATTATTCTCCCTCCTTTTATAACCTACTTGTCTTGAGAGTAAATCAGCTTTCATTATTTGTGTTCTGGGTTTGTGGGTCAGTATAAAGTTAAAGTCCTACAGTTCTAACATTTAGTAGGCTTAGTAGTAGTTGAGCTTCTGAGGTGTCTAGAAGTACTAGAGATTAAGGTGATCACTCCAAATCTTAAACTTCTGTGTAGTACTGAGAAGATATTAACACTACTCCTTTAGGGAACAGACAATTGTAAGGAGTTTCTTGTCATAGATAGGGTAGTTCTGTTCTGTTACAGAGAGGGATTCTGATCAGAATGCTATTAGACACTATTTTCTATCAATGAACTAGGACAGTACTACTCTATTTACAAAGTTGGAAGAGTTGGCTTTAACTCAGAACTTGTCCACAACTGTCAGAACTACTAATACAGGCTTGCTAGTGATGGCCTGCTTGAGGGACTCAAACACAGACTACTACTGATCATCCTATTACTAAGGAACATCCTTACTAGTAAGATTGTGAAGGGGCTAGGTAATAGTACTGAAGCCTTGAATAAAGTATTAGTAGTAGTTCACAAACCTAAAGAATGCTTGGACCTGTTTCAGGTTCCAAGGTTGTAGCCAGTTCCAAACTGTAGTCACCTTTGCCAGATCCATACAGACCTCTCCTCTACTAATCATGAAGCCTAGATAATCTACTGACTCCTGCACAAAAGAGTACTTTACTTCTTAGAGGAACAGTTTATTATCTTAGAGCTATTGTAGAACTGCTTAGATTAGTCAGTAATAGTACTTGACTGTCTAGGTAAAGATCAGAATGTTGTCCAGATACACACTAATGTGCTCTGAGTCAATCAGATCTGTAAGAATGTGATTCATGAATGACTAGAATGTTGTAAGCAAGTTAGTTAGTCTGAAGAACATTACAGTCAGTTTGTACAATCTATGATTAGTTTAGAACACAGCCTTCTACTCATTTCTGTCTCAGATCTGAATATTATTGTATTCCTATCAAATGTCCAACTTAGTGAAAACCCTAAATGTATGTATCTTATCAATGAGCTCCTAAATCAGGGGGAGCAGGTACTTGTTTTTAACAGTACTCTCATTAAGACAATAATAATCCTAGACTGAGTAGAGCTTTCTATCTTTCTTTTTGACAAAGAAGAAAGAGGAGGCTATAAGAGACTTTAAGGGTCAGATTCAGCCATTCTGAAGATTTTCCTAAAGGAACTTGTCAAGCACCTTCTACTCATCTCTGTTGAGTAGGTAGACCTTACAATCCTTAGGTTGGAAACCCTTAGTCAATTCAATTACATAGTCTTAAGGACAGTGTTTAGGAAGCTGGTTGAATTCCTCTTCACTAAAGACTTTAGGGAATTCTCAGACAAAATCCAGCAGGCTGGGTCTGTGTGTGTTCTAGAGTAGAGTCATTCTAAAAGGGTTCTAGACTGGTTCTGTCTCAGACATTCTTCAGATTGACTCTATTCTGTCTTGACTAGAATATGTATCCACATATTTATCCTAGTTAAAGAAGAACAACTAGTCACCTTCATCAGAACTGTTAGTAACATTGAAAGTGTCTGTATCTACTCAGAACAGTAGTACAAAGTAGTCACAAGACTTAGGACACTGATTGAACACAAGTGTCTGCTCTAACCAGTTAATAGTAGGATTGTGAGCTTTGAGCCATTCAAATCTAATGAAGACATCTGTCTTTCCAAGGTTAGTAACTCTGAACTCAATACTTTCCTCATAATCCTGAATGGTCATCCATAGTTGGACAAACTTGGTGATCTGACTATTCTGGTTCAGAGTTCTGTCCACATTATATACTAGGATCAGAAGTGGAATGTATCAAGTAGGGAGGTAGTGTTCCTGTACAAAGGCTTTATTAATACACAAACTAGTGTATCTACTGTCTACCAGAGCTGTTGTTCAGATCTGGGGGGATTCTGAGAAGGGAGCTAAGAGGACAGGGACCTAGAGCTAGTACCTAGAACATTCTCAGATGAACTACTACTTGTTCCAAAGGGAACATACAGCTTGTACAGCCTTGTTGTCTGAGAGGGTAAGTATATGTACTAACATTTCCTCATTAACCTCTCTCTTTCAACAAGGACAGACTCATGTCCTCAGCTGTAAACTCAGCTGAGACTATCCCTACTTAATACTATAGACAAACTACTAAGTAGTGAACAGGGCTAGGTAACATTCTGAATGTTCTAAAATCTTAGAACATAAAAGTAGTAGGTTGGATTGTACAGATTTAGACTTGGATGAAGTGTAAAGAGAAGAATCAAAAGAATCAGAAGAAATAGGAGAACTATCTACTTTTG